TTATAGCTTCTTTTCTCCAAACGGTTAATTTCTTAATTACATAAAGAACTCCTATAGATAAATGCAAAGAACTAAAAATCCAACAGAAATAAATGGGAAAAACATATGAGTGCATAGTTCATGGAAAAGGAAAAACGAACACTCTTGGAAATATGAATATAAACTCAACCTCGCCCAGACAAAGTAAAACAAGCGAAAAGGACACTGAGGTCGTCTTCTTGGCCTAACAGATTGCAAACTTCCCCAAGTGTGATCACCCCCTGCTGGCGAGGCTCCCTGAAGAATCGAGCCCATTGCCTGACAGAAACAAGCGGACAACATTCCTCAAGATCACACATGCTTATCCCCTTTAATGCAGCAATGCTACCTCTAATAATCTCACCGAGGGGCACACTTCCATATGTGTGAGCAGGCATATGTATACAAGTGGCATCTACTGAAGCTAAAGGAAATACAAACCGCAACGAATTATAGAACACTACAAAAAGTGAGCTAGTATGCTGGAAAAAGTGCAAAATAGCATTTCCAGAAATGAAAAATATAGTCTCTGCCATTTAACCCTCAGTGACTAGGTGAAACAGACTGAACACGGCCGAAGAGGGAACTGCCAATGCATATATTAACATTTTTCATAATAAAAGATTGAGAAGAATCAGAGGGGAAACTAAATATTCAGTAAATGGTGCTGAGGAAATGGAATATTCTTGGAAGGATTAGATACCTACTTCACATTTTAGAAAAAATAATTTTAGAAAGTATATACTATTTAAAAAAACACAATAACTCTATTTTCTTAGACTAAGGAAGAATTTCTTAAATAAGAGCAGAGTAAAAGCCATAAGAAAGATTAGTAATTTTTATTTCACTAAATTTAAGAAAAAATGTAAATAAAAGGCATCAAAAACAAGCAAAAAAAAAAAAAGTCCATAGAGATCAGAAGAGATTCGCCACGCACATAACCCAGAAAAATGAATCTCAAATACATAAAGAACTCATATATATCCATGAAAAAGTAGAAAAACATGCAAAAGCTGTCAATAGAAAAATTCACCATCAGAGAAACAGCTCAAACATCCCATAAACATAGCAAAAGGTAAGTCATCCCTGAAGTAATCAATTAAAATATGACACTATTTCACACACACAGACAGGCATAAAACAAAAGAAATATAATAATACTTTGACAGAATAGAAATTCTGATATAATTCTGGTGGTCCAGCTACTTTGAAGACAAATTAGACGGTAATAGTAATGCTGACAACCAGCACATGAAATTATCTGGAAATTCCATTTCTGAAGATCACATCCACTCTCACCAGATGTTCACCACAATACTGTTTATAATTGCAAATGTTAGAAACAAGTCAAATGTAAATCAAGGCGGGATTGGGTAAATCATCTGAGTATACTCACACAGTGGAATACTACATAGCAGTCAAAACAAATGACCTAGCACTCATAGCAACATGAGGAATCTAGAAAAGGTAACATTGAACAATAAAAGCAAGTTGACAAAGGGTATCCACCATACAACAGTGTTCGTATAAATTAAGAAATACAAAGACACCCAAATGACCAACCTGTGTTTTGTTATAAATACTTGTCCATAGGTAGATGATGGTCAGCTTCTAGAATGAGCCTCCATGACCCGCTTCCAGGCATTGACTCTTGTGTACTCCCCTCCCCCATCTACCAAGTGACACCATGTCACTTTGATTTGTTTACAAAATGACTGTGACTTCTGTCTTGGATTCTCTTTTGCACACTCTCTCTGGGATCACTTATTCTGGGGTGACCAGGTACCCATCTTGGGGACATTCAGACAGGTCTGTAGCAAGGTCCACATGGCAAGGAATGGAGGTGTCCTGGAAATAACCACATGACTGAGCTTGGAAGGGGACCCTCCAGCCTTCAGAAGCTGCAGCCTCAGGGGAGACGGGGGACCAGAACCACCCAGCTAAGCGCCCCGCCCCTCGATTCTTGACCCACAGCACAAGCTCCGTAAGTGCTGCTGAGCTGAGGGGCAACTATTCCATTCCGTAGCAAGAGGTAATAATCCAGGGTGCTGGGAACGATGGTGAGGTCATACATGTGCAGTGATTATGAGAAGAATACACAGCACCTTCAACACAAAGGGTAACTCTGGGCAGGGTGGTGAGGTAGGGCTTTAGCTATACTTATTTTTTCATTTCTACGACACATTTTTGAAGAAAATATGACAAAATGATAGAATTTGTTGTATCTGGGTGTTCCATAACTGTGTACGTAGACATGATTTCCTGTCATTTCAAACATTTTCTTTATAACTTAAAACATATGATAGCCCTGTCTGGTGTGGCTCAGTTGGTTGAGTGTCATCCCGTGCACCGGAAGGTCACCAGTTCGATTCCCAGTCAGGGCACATGCTCTGGTTGTGAGTTCAGTCTCCAGTTGGGGTGCCTATGAGAGGCAACAGATCTCTCTCACATCTATGTTTTTTCTCTCTCTCTCTCAAATCAATAAAAACATACTTTAAAAGATAAATAAACAAAAAGTGAGATTAAAAGAACTTATAAGCACGTATGCATAACCAATGGACATAGACAACAATGGGGGGGGCGGGGCAGTGGGATAGGGAGGGGGTGTCTAGGGGGGGAGGAGAAATATCTGTAACAAAACCAAATTAATTAAAAATTCCAAAAAAACCCCCCAAAAACTCAAAAAGCAAAACAATAAAAAGCACACGTTATAAATGAAAAATAAACACTTTGAAACAGAATAAAGGGCAGGGAATCGCTTCCATTTATTAAGATGCCACCGACCGCGGCTGGCTCCTAACTGCGGCCCGAGGGAAGCCAGCCCTTCAAAGGTGAACAGTGGGCACTGAAGAGACGCATCAGTGTATTTCCCACCGCTGGGAAAATCGATGGCTAAGTACCCACACCTTAAACAGGTTTCCAAAAAACAGCAACAACAAACCTAAATAAGAGCACCTATCCAAGAATTCATGATCAAATTCAGGACACTGTCTCTGCCCAGAGACACTGCATACCACCCTGTGCCCACAGCACTTCGCATGGAGCAGATGGAGATGCCGACCGGAGCGTCCACTGCGGTGGACGATGCTCGGCTGTTGCCATAGCAGCCTCTATCCACTTCGATGGCGTTTAATGAGGGAACAGGAATTGCGGGGAAAACGGCTTTGCTTCTTACGTTCTCTGGGTTAAAAGAAGTAAAGTCCCCCCACAGTCGGGGGACTCGCTGTTTAGTGGCAGGGCCCCCGGAAATGCAGAGAGAGGCCCCCGCAGGGCAAAGCGAACGGGCTGAGTCAATGTCCGTCTGAAAGGGTCACATTTACTCATGACCAAGATTTAAAAACTGACACGTCTCAAGCCCCCTGAGGCTGGTCACAAACACAAATCGCAGAACTCCGTAGTGACATTTAAGAAGATACATCACAAATATGTCCATGGATTGGGCGATATAAAACAGGGACTGGCCGAAGACTCCAGATGTTATTTTTCCTTTTCTTTAAAAAACATTTTTTTCTTTATTGATTTTAGAGAGAGAGGAAGGGAGAGGGAGAGAGAGATAGAAACATCGATGAGAGAGAACATCGACTGGCGGCCTGCTGCCCTCTGGGGATTGGGCCCAGAACCTGGGCATGTGCCCTGACCGGGAATCGAACCGGCGACCTCTTGGTGCAGGGGTCAGTGCTCAACCACTGAGCCACACCAGCCGGGCTCATTTTTCCTGTTCATATTTCTCTTCTTTGGTTCTCCAAATTACTTTATTGGGCAGGAATGACCATGTTCAAACAAGAATATGAAGCACCACTTAGCTAGTTTATGTCCCAGGACCCCCATTTCAGACCACCACATAGAAAGCACGAAATGAGAGCTGAGCTCTCTCCCTCCTGAATAAATCGGCTATGATTGGCATTTTGCCTGCACACCCCCCTCTCCGTGACGCTCCCCCAAACTCTGGTTGATTGGAGATCAGAGTAAAGGTCTGGTCGGTGCCTGCCCCAGACTAGATCTCAGGTTGAAGGCTTCCTGTCATCAAGTTCCTACTTCCTGTCCTTCACGATGCAGAGCTCTTGTATTTCACTGTAACCTCCACCCCCAGCTTTCTTCTGTTCTGCCTACTTGTCACTAGTTTCTTGTTCTTGCTCACATTTGCTTCGTTGTTCTACCCCTTAGCATTTCCTTCTGACCCTGACCGATGCCCCTGACGTTTTCAGTCTTCTGACACCCGACTGGAGACGGGCAGCGTCTGACACTCCCTGGCCACAGGCTTTCTCCACCCATCCCCCCGCCCTTGTCCGTGACCTGCCCTTCCCCTGTTCGCTCGGCTACTAGTCAGAAGGACCTGACCCTCCCACCAAACCGTGGGCAGTGGGGACTCTCCATTCCAAGCCAACTATCAAGGATGAGGACATTTTCAGGGGTCAGGAGTTCAACCATCCCATCAACTTGTGCTCTTCTGGTTTCTCCAAAGACGTGGCTAAGCCTCAACGCTGCTCTGTCTCCAGCCTGCCATCTTGCCCAAGGACTTCTATCGGAAAAATGGGCTCCTTGGTCACGTTCATGTAACAGCAATGACAGGCATTTGCTTCTTATTTCATAGGATTTCTTTGAGGGAAAGACTATGCACAGCTTCCCTATGAATTGTCTTCATTCCTTCACTTTCTCTGTCCAACACTTCGGCCCACCTCCCAGGCCCCTCGGAGCACCTTTATCTCCGGGCGAGGTGCCATCGCAAGTGTCCTATCAGAGGGAACAGCCATGCCGACACTCCCTGAGCGTGTGCCACGTACCAAACACTGAGAGCCTTCCGTGGACCATCTCTCTCTCCTCCCAGCAGTCCTGCAGCACCGTTTATTGATAAGCCTTGGATCACAGATAACAGGCATGAGGGAATCAATTCCATGGCAACCGACTTACCAAGAAGAGCTTCCAAGTGAGCGAGCTGACATGAGTCCTCTAGCGAGGTCCCTGTCCAACGCAAGCACGCTTACCTGCACAGGGGCTCGCGGCAAAGCCCACCCTCTTGCGGGCTCTGTCGAAGACCACGTAGAAGCCCTCCATCACGGTAGCACCAATCACCAGCGCATTCGTGGAAGGTGAAATGCCAAATCGGTAGCATTCGTAATTCGGGCCAGCCCCCATCATGGGCTGAATGTAGAGCTGTTTGTTTAAGAGGAAAGAGTAAACAGGTAAGAAAAAGCACAAATCAGGCAACATCACACAACTGTCCTGGTCACAGCGTGCTCAGAACCTTCCAAGGTGCTCTGGGAGCTATAGAGAAAGAATATACCAGCCCTGCTGTGCAGGACTTGACATCATAAACATGGTGGTGATAAACATTAGTGAAGTTATAGAAACCTGTACACAAACTGTAACTGTACACAGATACAACCATAAGATGTCCATCCACCTATCCATCCAGTCATCCATCTATCCATCTGTCCATCCGTCTGCCCACCCATTTGTTCATTAATCCATCCATCCATCCATCCATCCATCCATCCATCCATCCATCCATCCATCTGACCATCCATCCGTCCGTCCGTCTGTCCGTCCGTCCGTCCATCCATCCATCCATCTGCCTATCCGTGTATCCATTCAACCGTCTGCCCACTAGTTATTTAATGAGCACTTCAGATGGCCTAGGTACCATCCTGGATACTAGCAATACAAAGATGAATAACACACGGTTCCTGTCCTGATAAAATTTCCCATCTATGGGGGAGGCAGGTAAGTAAATATCAAGTCAGAAGTATTCTAACAGGTCCCTTCTATTGATAATGTCGACCTGCTAACTCTCTCCTTGTCCAAACTCTTTCTTCACTTGGTCTCTAAGCGACAGTCCTCCCTCCCTCCTAGCTCCCTGGCTGCTCCCTCTCAGGCACCTTGCTCCCCCTTCCTCACCGTCAGCCTATGAGCACTCCAGAGCCCGGCTTGCTCTGTCTTCCCTCCCAGGGGACGTACGCAGCCCCATGGCCTCAGTATATCCCCTGCTCTGTGCGGAGACTTCCAAATCTCCAGGTCCAGCCCATATCTGTGCTGCCATTGCCACACTCTTCTGTCCACTGGCTCACCCGCTCACCACTCAGTTGGCATCACAATTGTAACATTTAAAAAAATGGAACTTCGGATATTGCCCCCAATCGGCTCTTCTCTCAAGGTTCTCAGTCTCAGTAAATCCACGACACGCCCAGTACTCAGGCCCCAGAGCACTGGGTCAGTATCTCTGACCTTCCACGAAAAGCACAGCCAAAGCCTGTGGCCTCCTCTGAACAGACCCGAATCTGATCCTTCCCTCCCCATCGCGATCCCTGGTCCAGGCCCTTGTCGGCCTGTCTCTCATGCTCCCCTACAAAGGTTCCAGGATGCCATCTTTCCAAAGTGATGGTGTCGTCCTCTACCAAAGAGTCAGCATGACACGGGCAGGACGATTTCCTCAGTACGAGACCGAGAAGCCATCACAGTCAGAGAGAAGAGGCAGCATCACAGGGCCCTGGGGTGTTAAACAGACACAAGATAGGGCCCTGGAGGCAAGGGACTCTGGGGAGTGAGTCAGAACTTAAGACAATCAGTGAGCAAATCAAGATCATATCAGTAACAACAATCCCTCTGTTTTTAGTGGCAAAGTATTAAAATGCAAGCAATTCAGAGTGGCTGGGTAAAACATAAAGACAGACATTTGGGTAAAAAAGCTATCAAGTACAAAATAGGTGAGAAGGATTTTGCCCTAAGGCAACAAGATAGGCGGTCTTGGGTCTTGTGGCTGGTGGCAAGGTGAGAGGTGGGGCTTTGGGAGGGAGGAGCACAGACGGGAAGGAGGCCAGGGGGAGGGGCTGCTGCCTGAAGACAGAGAACAGGAGGCCAACTGGGAGGAGCGTGGGTCCTTAGGATTGGGAAGCACTCGGGCAGGACTTGAACTCGGAACAGACAAGGAAACCAGGAGTTTTCAGATGAAGGTCACTGTGCTTCACCTGCAGGGAAGACGGAGGGAGAGGATTTTCAAGGCACAGTGGTGGCAGTTCCTGGTGTCACCAAGGGCTAGACATCAAGCAGCTGCTGTGTCCAGGGAACGGTGGCAGCGGTTAGAACCCTGCACCGACCGGTGGGACTTCAAGGCAAGGACTCGTTCTAGTCCTCACTGCATGCTTGGCGCCCGTGGTATGTGCTGGGCACACAGGAAGACCTCAGTAAATGCCTGCGAAATGAATGAGCGGGGCTAAGCTTTGATCAGTGTTAAATTAAGAAACGTGTTTGGGGGGGGGTTACACTTAGCTGCCACAGAAACAGAAACACATACACATGCGTGTGCGTGCACGCACACACACACACACCCCTACCTGTGAATAAACTAATTCCATAATGAAACCCAAACAGTTATCCAATATGATGCAGCTGACGGTATTGATGCGAACAGAATTTATACCTTTCACTTGGTCCTCTCTGTCTCTCCCAGTTGGCTTCCAATAAAAGTTCCAGACTGTAAATGTGTCACATGTTGGGAGAGCTTCGGTATTTCTGGATCTCAGAGTAAAACTGTCTGTCTTAGACTAAAATAAGCACAAATGGACGAACCAGTGGTATTAAGACTAAAACCATTTACATTTATAGGGTTATGTGGGAAAAAAAAATCAGAATTTGTCTATGCGCTGGGGATTGATTTTTTTACCAGGCCAAATAGGATTCAGCTCACGTGTTTTTGGAAAATATTGTTGGTGACAGACCAGATTTAAGGCAATTGCCTTTGGTACGACTCTTTTCTGCCCCAGCAAGCATTTGCCCAGCTATTCCTGCAGGTGACTGAGAGGCCACAGGGAGCCCCCATTACCTGGATGACAAGGAGCCCAATGATTGCTCTAAATGTTAGGAAGGGGGTCAGGCAGGTGGAGCCAGGTGTTAGGAGACAAGCCGGTGCTGTCCTTGAGGGGTGCCACTAGCATATGGGGCATGTGAGGTTCTCATCAGGTGACTGTACCCCACTGCCCATCTATGGCCTTCCCAACAGGCAATGGCAAGCTAACATGGTGATGCTGAATTTTAAAAAAAGAAAAAAAACAGCGAGAAATGTTGATTTTTAAAAATCAAAAATGAGCCCTGGCCAGTGTGGCTCAGTTGATCGAGCATCATCTCGTGCACCAAAAGGTTGCTGGTTTGATTTCCAGTCAGGGCACATGCCCTGGTTGCAGGCTCCATCCCCGGTAGGAGGTGGATGGGGGGCAGCCAAAATCATTATCTCTGTCTCTGTCTCTCTTCCTTTCTCTCTCAAATCAATGAAAATACAATAAATAGATTAAATTAAAAATCGAAAATGTGAACACATCAGTCAATCAAAAACAATCTAGTCTCGTAAGTGAGAATAAGACTGAATTCTTAGCCCTGGCCAGTTTGGCTCAGCGGTTAGAGCATTGGCCCATGGACCAAAGAGTCCCGGGTTCGATTCCAGCCAAGGGTACGTACCTCGGTTGCGGTTCGACCCTGGCCCCAGTTGGGGTTGTGCAGGTGGCAACCAATTGATGTTTCTCTCTCTCTTCCTCCCACTCTGCCTGAAGATAAAGGTAAAATATTCTCAGTGAGGATTAAAAAAAAACCAGGCAAATGGAATGCCGTCCTCCAACCTGCCTCCCTACATTCCTACACTGCCCTGTGCTCTGTCCTGTAAGCACTGACAACCCCCAGTGAACCCTCACTTCAGATGGCTACGACCTGCCCTGGACATAGACGCTTGCCCCCGAATGCCTGCTTTTCCTCTGCCAACCACCCAGGTGCCGTTTGTGTGCCGGCACACGTCCACCTTTGTCCTCAAGCTGGGTTTCAACTTTAGCTACAAACCACACTGAGAGCCCTGGCCGGTTTGGCTCAGCGGTTGGAGCATCGGCCTGCGGACCAGAGAGTCCCGGGTTCGGTTCCCGCTAGGGGCATGTACCAAAAAAAAACCAAAAAAAACAACACACTGAAATAATGTCCACATTTGGCTGGTTGACAGAACAAAATGTAATCATAAAGAGCACATTCTTTTAAAGATGCTGAAAACCCTATCATTCTCACATTACTTTGCAGCACTGTTCATCCAAGGGTATGGCCGTCCTCTGAAGATGTCATTGGCCAGTATTACCCCTTCCCCTTTATGGTTAGAGAGGCAGACACAGAAAGGACTGGGTGATTTGCTTCAAGTTGCAGCGCGAGTCGAGGGCAGCCTGCGGTCATAGCTCAGGCCTCTGGCTCACAGCGCAGGCGTCCTCGGCGGGGCTGCATTTAGCCTTTTCCCAAGAAGTGCCCATTTCTGAAATGCACCCTCCCACCCATAGGAAGTTGAAATGGGGAAACGGCAGTATAATAATTTACTTGTTTCTTCTGAAATGATTCCTCTTTTCCTACCCCCAGCTGCACTTCTTTATCCCAAACTAACCAGATCACAGAACAAGGACACATGGGCTTGCCCACTGACCACCCAGCTCCCGGGCCCCGTCTTCACGGCCTGGGTGGGGAAGAAGGGTGGTCTCTACCACTCATGGTTCACATCTTCAAGGGCATTAATTTAATTGGGAAAGAAATATAAGGGTGTGTGTTTCTTTTCAGAAAACAGAAGTCAAAGGAAAAAGGCAACAGCATAAAATACACCCTAAAGACATGACCCTGTGCCAGATGGGTGGACTAGAAAACACGCATTCTGAGTTTGAAGGGCAAGCTGACAAATGGGTTATTCTGCTCAGCAGCGGTTCCACAAAGGACAGATTGTTTGAGTCGGGTCTTAGAGGATGGGAAGAATTTAGATACACAGACGGAGCAGGGACCAGAGGGCATTGCAGGCAGGGGTGGCAGGGCGCGGGCAGGGGTGGCGGGGCACGGGCAGGGGTGGCGGGGCGCGGGCAGGGGTGGCGGGGCACGGGCAGGGGTGGAGGCCAAGGTTAGGAGACAGGAGCAGGCAGCGAGCAATGAGCGGAGGATCAAGGATGTAGCAGGAAACCGGATGGAGAGCATGAAAGGGTCCATCAAGGAGGTCATCGAAAGCCACACCAGGAAGAGACCATCAGCATCCATCCATCTATCATCTATCTATCTATCTATCTATCTATCTATCTATCTATCTATCTATCTATCCATCTATCTATCATCTATCTATCATCTATCTATCTATCATCTATCTATCTATCATCTATCTATCTATCTATCTATCTATCTATCTATCTATCTATCTATCATTCTTATTATTTTTTTATCCTCACCTGAGGACATTTTTGCATTTATCTTCAGATAGAGCGGGAGGGAGAGAGGGGGAAAGAGAGAGAGAGAAACATCGATGTGAGAGAGACACATCGAGTGGTTGTCATTCACACAACCCCAACTGGGGAGGGGACAAACTGCAATGGAGGTACGTGCCCTTAGCGGGAACCGAACCCGGGTCTCTCTGGTCTACAGGCCAATGCTCTAACCGCTGAGCCAAACAGGCCAAGGCTATTTATTTATTTATTTTCAATTTATCTTTATTGTTGGAAGTATTACAGACTTTTTCCCCTTGATCCCCTCCTTTCTGACCCCCTCCCCCACACCCTTGTCTGTGTCCATTGGTTAGGCATATATGCATGTAAGTTCTTTGGTTTATCTCCTGCCCCCCTTCCCTCTGGGGTTCGTCATTCGAGACCTTCAGCTTTTAAATAGCGGGGTGGAAAGCTGTGGTTTAGGAACACCCATCTGGGCGTGGTTTTAGTGGAGACAGGAGACGGGGGTGCTGGGAGGGCACTCTGGAGGTTCTTGAGGCGCGGAGGGGACCGAGTGGGTGACAGAGAGAGCTATGGGAAGGACAGGTGAGGAAGAGGGAACACTGTGACTAAGGAAGACAGAAGTCGGTCTATTTCACTAGACGCTTAGAATGAAGAAGAAATCAGTGATGACTAGAATGTGGGAAAAAGGATGTCTTCCGCTCTGAGAATCCAGTTTTCTTCTTCATTTATAAATAAGTAGAAAACCCCCATATCTTGGCATTGTGATAGATGCTGCAAAAATGTCCTCGATTCTTGACCTTTCCTTGTAGCCACGCCCTTGTGATGTGCCTTTGCTGCTCCTCCCACCCAGAGGTGGCTGGACTCCTGCACCCTCCCCCACCCGGAATCTGGGCTGGCCTTGGCCTCCTGTGGGCGACACTGTTCCAGCCACGGTGGCCGGTTCTGGGCCTCGACTTCAGGAGGACCCGCTTCCTCCTCTCTTAGAACCATCACCACGTGTGAGCCAGCCGCTGGACACCGAGACGACAGCCCGTCACTCCACTGACCTAGCCCCCGTCGCAGACCGTCCTAGGCCGTCCTAGACCAAGACCAACCTAGGCCCAGGCAAGCACCCGCCGACCAGACCCCACGGGCAAGCCCAGGAGCCGCAGCCCGGCCAGGCTCCTGAGCAGGAATCAGCCTCACGGATGCAAGTCGCTGCTGGTCGTGGTCCTCGGGACCTGCCACGGGTGGTCTCACTCCTGCATTTACCTGTGACAGACAAGCACACATCTGCGCATACCTGCGGCAGGATGGTGATGCGGAAGGACCTGCTGGAGTTCTCCTCTCTCAGGTAGATGGAGATTTTAGGGAAGTATGACCACGGCGTTTCGGAATTCGTCCAGCACGCCAGCTGCGATCCAGTCCAGAAGCCGTCAGAGAATTCTGGAATCTAGACAAAACACCATCGGGAGAGAAACAATGACGAGTCTGGCGAGCCAGGAGGACCGACCGCTCCAGGCTCTTCCTGTCGCCTTGCCAGATCCGCGGGGACAGACGGCGTTCGATTTGGACAGCCAGCGGAGACAGCAGTCCTCGCAAGAGGAACAGTGATTAAGTCCCGAGGCTGTGGCGCAGGCACTAGCATGAGGCACCATTGATTATCAGCGCTTTGCTGTCGTCATTACTGTAACCCTCAAAACTGCCTCAGTGTGGTGGTATCATCCCCTCTACTTTACAGATGAGGAAACCAGGGCACAGAGAGGTGAAGCAATTTGCCCAGGTAACGCAGTAGTTGGCAACGACCCTTTAAAGAGAGACCAGGTCCTAAATGTGGCCCTCAGCACCTTTCAGACACCACCTGCCCTTTGAATTCCCTGCGCCCAGCACGCTTCCTTCTGGGGGAGATCCCTTTGTGGGCTCCCTGCTCCTCAGGAGCATCATTCTCCTCCTCCGGGTCTCAGCTCAGATGCTGCCTCGTCCAGGAAGCCCCCCCTGACTCCCCTACATAACTCAGGTTCCCCTGGTGCAGATCCCTTTGTGGGCTCCCTGCTCCTTAGGAGCATCATTCTCCTCCTCCGGGTCTCAGCTCAGATGCTGCCTCGTCCAGGAAGCCCCCCCTGACTCCCCTACATAACTCAGGTTCCCCGTTGGATACCTCTTCCGTGTAGCCATTAGTTTTACATTTCTTGTGAGTGGTTCACCTGTTTCCTGAACTAGAATCTGAGTCCTCTAAGGACAAAGGCCTGCTGTCTGCATCCCCTTTGGGTCCTAACACCCAGCCCATCGGAGAGACTCAGGACAGATTTGCAGGAAATACGAATGGGTGGGAACAGAATGTCCACTGTGCCTCTCCTCAGGGGACTAGAAGGGCAATGGGACCCACACGCGTCTGCTAGTTGCTGAATCTGTGAGTTAATTCCAAGTTCTGGCCATGCCATCTGGCCAGGACCAGGGAGGCACCCGCGCCGGTCTGCCCTGTGCCTGCCGCTCCCAGAGGGAGGGTGGTGTGGGAGGCTCCTGTTCTAACACGTGTCTTCCAGCACAGAGCCCTGCTCGGTGACCGCCGGAGGAGCACGGGGTGGGGACAGCTAGGGGAGGACTCACGGGGAGGCAGGGATGTTTGTCCAGGGAGTGCCCCTGCGGCAGAGACACCTGACCTGAGTTGAGGGACGAGTGGGTGGTACTTGGGTGTGGTGGGGGAAGGAGACCAAGCATGAGACCTGCCCACTGGGTGACACAGATGACAGCCATGGTGGCTGGTGCAGAGGTCAGGAAGGGGCACGAGACAGGCTGGGAGAGAACCGGGGGCACCACTGTGCATTGATCAAAGAGCTGAGCCCTGAGGCATGCCCGTATCATGAGGGGTCCACGTGATGCCACTTGTTCTCCGGGTCCTACCTCCAGGGACCGAGCTGGGGGTAGACGGCTGAACTCCAGAGTCACGAACGCGAGGGTGGGAAGCGGGGCTGTGGCTGTGGATGGGACCACTTAGGAGAGAGTGCAGGGAGGGGAGGGGCCTAAGACCCACCCAGAGAAATGGGCCAGCAAAAGAGACCCCCAGGAAGAAGGGCCCAGGGATGGGAAGGTGTGCAGGGAGGAGGGCGTGCTGGACGTCGAGGCAGGTGAGCAAGGATGCCTGGAGGTCAAGTGGGCAAGAACCGAGGACACCGAGGCACCACGGGACGAATGCAGGATGCGTGTCGCATGCTACTCAACCACACACACAGGCACCTGCCCTGCCCCCTCCCGGGGTAACAGAGGGAGAAACATCCTGTGGTCTCTTCATCCATCGAAGGCTGGCCTCCCGGACCGTTCATGAGTGGTCTGCCAACTTTCTGATGCTGGCATTAACATAATTTCTCCTTTCCTGAAAGTGCAGTCCGTTTGAAACGTGCCCCCTAGGGACAAACCTCTGCCAGAGGCGTCCATAAGAGGGGGGGCGGTCATTTTGCTGGAAAGAGCGGCTCGGTCTGCCCAGGGCTCTGAGCTCCATCAGCACTAAGAGCAGGTCCAACCACGGATGAGTATGAGGCTCAGAGGGACCCAGTAACTCGCCTGAGGGGCACAGCTCAGAACTGGATGGGGGACCATCTGCCACCAAAGGTGAGCCACGTCGGGGACAGTTCTGACCTCAGGTCACAGAGCTTTAGTGTCACAGGTCATCTTAAAGTGTGTGGGTCATCCAGTGTGTGCACTCGGCCTGAGCCCCGGGGGCGCCGCAGCTGGGCAGGAATGGAGCCTGGGTCTCGGCTACACACAAACCCCCAGCAGGCTCATTTCAAGACGCAGACCTATAAGCCATTCATTCCTAAAATCCCATCTCGAGAATCCATGCCGGGAGCCAGAGCCTGACCTTTCCCTGTTCACTCTCCGAAGCCGGCTCTTTCCTCGGCAGAAGGAAAAGCCAAGCAGCGTCGATGACCCCGCAGACAGAAGGACAAACCCGCTGGCGCACACGCAGAGACGGACAGACACCGCACACCCATGCGTGCTCCCCCTGCCCGAGACCAACAGCCTTCCCAGGCCGCCCCTTCCTGACGTGGGCACGGAAATCACAGGATCATTTCCCACAAGGCAAACACATTTCGTCATTTCCTTCCTTCCACCTCATGGTTTTCTTACAAAGTCAGTCACTGCTGAACCCGTTACGATGACCTCGGGGTGCCAGCTGTCAGCCCCAGCCCTGCGCTCTGACGGCCTCCGCGGGCTGGTTGGAATGGCACAGGGTGCGTCCTTGGCGCGTGGGAACGCGTCCATAGCTCAGACGTGAACGGCAGGTGCGCGCGTTGACTCTGCCGAGGGCATGTTCCCTGTCCAGGGAGAGCAGCAGACTGCCCCACATTCCCACCAGGGTCTGATTCCCGGCCAGCATCCTCAATGGAAGGCTCTAGGAATTTCATTGCCTTTTCTTTTCAGACGCAGCAGATGCCAGGCTGCTCTGGGCTCCGTGCGCATTCTGGGTCTCCCTCTGCGTTCCTCGGCTGCCTGCTGCTCTTCCCGCGGCGACTTGGGACTTTTGAAGTTTTGGTTCAGGACAACCACAAACTCTCTCTCTCTTTCCAAGTTTTCGCCATCACCTGCCATAAAATAACTGCCGTACGCTTTCCTATCACTGGTTCTTTGAACTTGGCCATCCCGTCGGAGGAGTGAGGTAATCGGCCGGAGTTAGGACCGGGGTAAAGACTGCAGGGAACACTCATGTTTGGTGACTCCGCAAGGGTGGCCCAAGGGATGTTTATCTCGCTTTCAAACAGTGGCGGCACCGAGGTTGGATACTAGACGGAAGCTTCTCTTTCCCAAGCACCTGTGTTGCCAGGACCTGACCCCAAACCTCAGAACCACCCCGCTGAGCACGTGGAGGCTCTCAGAGGGTACGGGACCCTTCCCCGGGACTCTGCTAACACGTGCCAGAAACTACGCAGAATTCAATTCCATCGACCCCAAAGCTGTGTTCTTTCCAGTCAAAGCCATCCGGTCCACTGAGGTACCCCCAACTGGAAAACTGGGGTCATACTGGGAATACCATCAGCCAGGTCCCGAAAAGGCATATTGTCCTTGACGGTCATTTCAATCGTATTACTGAGCATGACCATGCAATAATTGTTATATTCGCCAATGGGTCCTTGTCTTCTGTGAATCACATTCTTTTAGAGAAGAATTAAAACCCCAACACAGCTTGAATGAAGGCCTAAGAGAAGTAGGATTTTTGGTTTATCTCTTTGGTTTTAAAGGCTACAGACACATTCCTGGTTACTATGTAGCATGATTGCCCCATTTTTTTTTTCTCTACATTTAGAAACATGTATTGCACCAACCACACCGCTACTTGAAACACCAAACAAGGCTCTGCACTTTCAGATCCCAGTCCTCTCAGGGGAAAATGACAGGATCATTTGCCAGTTAATATCCAAAAAGAAGATTGTGAGTTTAATAAGTAACAGTTAAAAAAAAAAAGAGAACAATCCTTCAAAATCCTCAGCTGGCGGCCATTAGCATACATGTTACCCTGCCCATCACGTGGCCGTGACCCGCGTTCTCCGAGGTCTGTCGGCGTCCTGACAACTCACCAGAGACGTGTGGGCCACGGCGTCGACCACGGCGTCGAACACCTTCCTGGGCAGGCGCAGCAGAGTGGTGCCGCTGTCCACGATGGCCTTGTCCGCGTTGTACTGGAGGGGGACACGGGGAGACGGCACGTGAGTGAACGGTACCAGCCCTCCATCACCATGCGCCCGTTACATGCAAACTCGGGCAGCCGTGGTACCTCCGTGGCGACAATTCATCCTATATGCTCAGAACTTGGAAACCGAGGATCTATTAGCCCAATGTTCCCACTTCACAGGAAGAGAAAGTGAGGCCGGAAAAGGGAAATGGGACCAGAATCAGCAGGCTCCCCATGTAGAGCTTGTCCCTTCTGCAGAGGTGCCCCCTTGCCCCGGAGGGAATTCCACAGGCAAAGAGGGGAGACCCACTCCACTTGTCCTCAGAGTTGCATGACACATTAAATGCCACTTACACAAATCGTACACAGTCAACTCTATGCTGCCAATGGAAAAGGAGACTTAGAGCCGCATTCAGCAAGAGAATCACACACACACACACAGTCTGCATTGATTCTACCACTGAATTCCTTGATGACAAATAAGTGCCTTTTGACAACAGGCGCAGGCCTGTGGGCTCAGCACTCCCACAGTGAGTGGACCATCTTCCGCCAAGGTTCCGTGGTTTCTCAGAGGCGCCTGGGCACACAGGCACGCGCGGCAGACGGTGATGGTGCATATGAGAGGGCGTGATGAGACAGGTGGAGGGAGAAGGTAGGAATATCATGAAATGCTGGTGGTTTTCATAAACCATTCTGAAAATACTGTGGCGGACGGAGGCTCCCTCAAGTCATCATAATCATAAAGCCAGAGCCACAGACAAGCCAAGTGCAGCGAGAGGGGTGAGGGAGGCTGGCAGGAGACCGGGTCTCAGCCCCGCACACCGGCCCCTTCTTAGCATAGCAAGCCCTACACATCCGAGAGCACAGCTTTCCTTTGAGTGAGAAATCCGTCCGGGGCAGGGTAGGGGTAGGGGGCTGGCTCTGAAGGAAAGATAAAGCTGATGATTTACTTTTGGCTTCATTTGGCTTATTTTTAGCCCCGCTCTGTCCCCTCACACGGATAAAACCCTTTCTAATGCATCCTCTTCAACAGAGTTCAGGGACCATCAGGCCAAGACGAATGGCAAAGGCTGTAGCTCCAGGAATAGGTCCTCACTCACCATGTTATGCTGCTTTTTTCCTATTAAGCCAAGCGTGGTAAGAAAACAATTCATTTTTTTTTAAGAGAGGAGTCGTTGATTTAAACTTGTCAGGCAGAAAGTCCCTGTAACTTTTAATGTCAAGAATCTCTGATTTATCTTGTAATGTAATCTACCTTCTGATTTCACATTCAGGTCTAATATTTAGGTGACTCAGGCACACACAGACAGGTAGGCACAAAGAGTTCACAGTGTAGGTACCTCTCTGCAGTCCAGATTGAGGCTCTGGCCTCCGATTTCCAATTTCAGAATTTCTATCTGATAATACCACTCCTCCTTAATCGGGGTATACCAGATGTCTCCTTTGTACAAACTTGGTTCAATTCCACCCAGGACCTGGGAAGGGAAACAGTCACAGGGATAAGAGAAAAAAACACACCAGCCTATAACAAGTGACACCAAGCAGCAAGCACTTGTACGGTGAGCCTTCCCCGGGATCAGTACTCTCCCTACAGTCTGAGGTGACAAAACAAATACTTGTGCTTGAAGATTAAACAGGGAACATTTTGGGGCCAAATATCCAAAGGTCAGACAGTGTTCTGCCCCAGTCTAATCAGGATGCTTTGGAGTTTCCCTCACTTTCAGGGTGCACGTGTAATTCCAGCTTTACCATCCGGAGACTTCGCCCCAAAGAAATGCAGTGAAATAGTGAACCACCCAGACTGACAGCGACTTAGCTCCCCGGAACCCAGGATGACTTCTACCCTGTACATGTGCACAGAAAGCAGAACAACATGGAGCTTCCTTCAGCAAAACTGCATCTTGTAGAACTGCATGACCACGCTCCACAAATCCCAGGCCACCCTGTCCCCTGGAAGGGGAAACAGGAACCACGAGCAGGTACACTGTTAGCAAGTGAGGGTGGCCGAGCCCGCTTCTCATAGGTGTGGGCTGCACCCACCCTGAGGAGGTCCCTCTTGTGCATTTTCCTGTCACCTACTACTTTAAGTGTGTGGGTTCAAGTTCCATCAAGGGGACATTTGGGGCTGATGGCCTTGAATGACTCTGTCTCACTAACAAACACTTCCATCTCTGTGTGTGCATATTGCGAGAGAGAAGGATATACAAGTGTTCTTGTCTCCCTGAACTTACGAAACCACAAGCATCCCCCTTTGCTTCCCCTCCCCAGAGTAAGGCCCACCTGCTACCTCCCCCACTGCTTCTCACTCGCCCCTCCCCCACCCCTCAAAAGCAGTTACCTTCCGAAGGAAAATTTTCAAAAACTTGAATGGCATTTGGGGAAGCAATGAGAATCATCTTTTGGATGGCGGGATGATTATTAGGAAGGATAAAAATCATAGCTATTGTTATCCATTTTTAACTAATTATCAAAACTTTGCAGGACCTAGGTATGCCAACATGTCTAATATTTCTACCAGGGTCTTTAGTAAAACAGAAAGCAAGAGCCCCGCTGATGCGTGAGTTTCGCCTCTGAGACGGAAAGATACCCACAAGACTACCTCCGTTGGTACCAGATCCGGCCACCGGCAACCCCGCCCCACACATCTGCATGGAGAAAATGTTGGGGATCCCGGCTTGCGTCACCAGGGAATCGAAAAACGTCTCCAGAGAACTTGATGGCTGCAGGGGGAAGGAAAGGGACAGTATAGATGAGGAATGACCCATGTCGACACCACTTTGTATTTATATTTAAGTGTTTCATGGCCAAACACTAAACAAGCTTATCTTTAAGCACATTCAACAATAATTCAGAAACCTCCAACAGGACTTCCTACTCCTTGGTGTTTTTCTCTTTGGTATGACTGCTGTAAAAATAAGAGTCTTTCCAGAATCTATGAGGATGCTGCACATTTATCATCACAACTGCAGACGTGAGAGGATGTGGAGATGGGCTGCCGCGGCAGGTGCTGGATGCGAACAGCGACATTCGGAGTGAGGGGGGAGCAGGGTGTCCTGAAGCCAAAGTCTGCCTTCCCCTCCTTCAGCCGCAGTCCCTCGTACGAATAAGAGGTGCCCAACCCACGGGGACAGCTCATCGCAGACCCTAGACTGTGGGAGGCAGCTCGGCATGGCCAGCTGTCTGCTGTGCTCCTCAAGCTGCAAAGCCCATGACGCCCACGGCCGTGTTCCACGCTGTGCCTTCCCGCCACGTAGCCATTGAGCAGACCCCCACTTCTCCAGGACTCAAAAGCAAGAGGGGTGGTCTATCGACAGTTCTGAGTTGGGGGTGGGCCACAGGTGCTGGTGGTCGTAAAGGAAGGGCACAGACTTGCGTTTGGATTTTGGCTTTGACAAATGGATGTGGATTAGTCACTCTGAGTGTTCGTTTTTGGTGACAACCCACTTGTGTCACTTAGATGAGACAGGAATATTCCAACCATCTCTGGTGAACAGAAAGCACATCACCTTTTATCTGTAGGATAATAAAAATTGGGATCTATAATTCTGGAGGGAGGGAGAAGACAGCCCCATTAGCAAACAGACATGACCCTTCCCGTGGGTTGCGTTCATGGGAACTGTCTCCCACTCGACTCCTGTGGGAGCCAGCAGAAGTGTACGATGTCCCCACAATCCTTGTTCCAGCAGCCTGTGTTCGGGTCGGCGAGAGGGACGGAGGGTCTCTGGAGCTGGGTTGGCCGGGTGCTGACCCAGCCTGGTCTTCTGTTGTCCGCCGCCCTGAGAGGCAGCCAGGTGAACACTGCCGGGAGTGTCCCAGCTCCACCACCTGCTAAGCCTTGGCTTCATTATCTGTAAAACGGAGATGATGACAGGCTCCTGGAGCGGTTCTGGGCTCAACCGGCACAGTCAGGGATGTGTCACCAAGCTGTCAGGTCACAGCCAGTCAGACTGTGCCCCAGGACCCCGTAGAGGTTTCAAAGTGCACAGTTTCCACGGCCTGATTCAGGTGGGTGTCTGGACCCAGGCATCTGCAGTGGTTCTGATGCACGTCCTTGGTGGGAGCATCTGGGGTCCTCCAGGGGCCACCACACTGGCCACCACTCACTGCTGGTCAACTTCCTTCAGCAATGCCCTGGGCCACCAGCCAGATGGCCCTGCCTGTCCTGTTTGCAGCCCGGCCTCCTCCACGTCCTATCGCTGTCTCCTCAACTCCACGGTACGGAGCCAGTTGCTGCTAATCTTGGAATTTCACAGACGAAAAGATCAAAGGTCATATGGAAAGTCTGGACACTGCCCCAAACCCCCAGTTGTTTATTCCCAAGGGGGTGTCACGTGTTGTTAGTTCCACCGTCTTCAGAGCAATCCGCACAGACAGGCACACCCGCGGCGCCTGGAGACGGAATGTTTCGCCCCAGGTCACGCTGTCGGCGGAAACGTGTTCAGGAATGGACGTGCTCACCAGTCTGCAAATCTCACAGGACGCAAGGCCCACAGCACTGAGAAAAGGGGGGGCCCGAACTGCTCGGGGCCCCGCAGACAGAGTGAGACATGCCCTTGGGGCTCTGACTGCCCTGGGCCTGCGCACCTGAAAGTGGGGATAACGAGCTTACAGTCTGCCTCGTGGGGAGTCGTGGGAACTGACACCTTGCGATGTTCTCAGTCTCATTGGCTAGTCTTTCTCCTCGAGGACTCCCGTGTGCACTGACCCCACGCCGACCCTTCACCCTCCCCACCCCTACACCATTGGCTAGTAAACCTGAGCAGTTAATGTCCCGATGAGGAGAGAAAACAGGCTTTCTCTTTGGGATTCTCATGGACCAATGGGGGTCTGTTGTCACCAGCCCTGTGGCTCCTGTGACCGGGCTTTGTTCTGTTCCCTACTTCCCTCTGGCTCAGAGCCTGATCCGGAACATAGGTGTGGTGCTCAGTTACGGCAGGAGGGGTGACCGCCTTCTGCTTTGCTCAGGAGGACACAGACCTGCCCCGAGGCGCACCTGCTGTCCAACCCGCCTGCCTCTGGCAGCCCGTCCCGGGCAATCGCCGCTTGCCAGCCTGCGCCGCCCTCTGCACACCAGCCGCGCTCCCGCTGGTCTGCCCACTGCAAACACGGAGACCACGCAGTTCCGCCGTCCCCTGCTCTGTGAACCTGTGATGCTGACGAGGGCAGAGTCCCAAGCTTTCTCCCTGGCGCGTGACTGCTTCAAGTGGCCGGCGGTCCCCAGGCAGACTTTCTAGTTGTCCCTGCTCCAGCTGCAGGTGTCCCCTCAGAGGTGGCCTGGAGCCATGGGAGGCGGCCTGCGGCCTGCTGGGCCACCTCCCCCTGCCCAGTTCCCAGTGTCTCCCGTGGGCTCCATCTTCATACCAACATATGCATTTAATAAATGTGTCTTCTCTTAATCCCACACTAATAGAAACTCCTAAACAAAATCATAATCCAAGGGATTCAGATTCTCAATATTTTCAAACTATACAAGTAAAATAGATAACAACAAAAGACAAACAAAAAGCAATGCTACTAGTACATCTTGCCAGAAGGTTAAAATTGTGCCATGTACCTTTAATTTTAAAAATGTAGAAATTTCATTAACTGTGTGACGGGTGTTCTGTTTTAACCCTGTGATTCTAACTGACCATCGCCGACAGCCTGGACCCGTGCATCTAAGGAAGGGTTGTCAGGATCTCTCCCGTCACTCGGTTTACTCAGACCCCTGATACTCCTCACCTTGGCCAGGGCAGCGTAGGCTAGTCCAAGTATCCCGTTCCACTGAATCCCAGGCAGAAAGAAATTCTCTGATTCAAAGATAGTGGCGATGTTGACAAGGAAAGAACTGTTGAAGCCTTTTGGGATGGTGACCAAGTCCTCCCCCACCAAGCCGGTCCAGCTCCCTTGTGTGTACTTCACGGTGACATCGAAGCCCTTGGGACGGTACGTGCTGGACCTGGAGGAAGAAGAGAAAGGGAAGCATCGTATTCTGCCTGGATGTCCGAGTCTGACAGGATGGCCGCTCACTAGCAAAGACAGCTGTCCTCAACAGTCAACTATAAGCAATTCTTAACAGTGTTCACAGTGACAAAATTCCGTTTCCCACAAAACACAGTCACTCCTGTTTGGGTGACAGTGTTTTCCGTGCCAGGTGTTAAGGAAATACTGGGGTTAACATGTGGCCCCTACGGGTAACACTTTCTGTGCCCCCAGTGAAACCCAGAAGGTCAGGTGCATCACTTAACTGTGTTCGTCTGGGAAGGCACAACCGAACGCGGGCCCCTGCCTGGCCGTCTGGCTACGTGGGGACCCTGCACACTGCCTTGTGACACACGGAAGGGCTAGCAGCCTAGAATGAGGTGCCGCCAGCTTGTGCCAGCAGTGGGTTCCGATTCATGCCAACAGCCAGTGTCATGAAGAAAGGCAAAGCCATGCCTGCCACACGACCTGCTATCACAGGTTCTCTCAGGACTCTCCTCCAAAGCCTGACGCTGATCAGACTCACAGCAAAAGGTGGGCAATGACGCAAATGGCATGCTTTGACAGGAGTCACTGTGACACCCTCTACAACCCCATTTGCATATAGCCCCACGGGTAGGAGTTACTCAGACACAACAACAGCACAAGATAAGACAATGGACCGCAAGTGAACAGTAATCCCGCCAGTCAGAGAGCTATCCAGAGAGTAAAGCCAGGTGAGGGGAGGGCAGGTGACCTGGGCACCATCCAGGCCTCCTTGCTAGGACAGACCTGCATGAAGACCATGAGCCAGTGGGGAAAGATATCCTGGGGCGAGGACAGCAGGTGTCAAGGCCCTGGGGTGTCCAATCCTATAATGTAATTCTTACACCCACTTGAGTTTGGAAACTGCTGGACCATATATAATAAGGAGCCCAAGGCAGATCTCTTGGGCATTGAAAACATGTTCCCCCAAGAAAAGTGATCAAATTCCTGAGAGAAATGTCCAATCACCAAACAGGTAATTCTAGGGTGTTCTTGTCGGCTCGCACTTTTCACTTCCCTCCGTTCCAGTAGTAAGTCTCTAGACATTAATGTTGTATGTCTTTGTTCTAGTACATGAGTTAGTGCCATCCTCTTCGGAGTCAGGAAGGAAAGTGGGCCAGAGATGACGATACTCCTTTTGGGGGTACATAGGAGAAGCTTTAAAACAGCGGTCTTTAATTCAGTAACCGTACTTCTGAGAACCTGACTCTGAGCAAGCACCAGGACGCAGACAAGGGCACGTGCAGACAGTCGTGAAGTCCCATTGACACGAGCAAACAGCTGGAGACCACTTAGGTGCCCAGTACAAAGAAACTGTGTAGTCAATTATTATATATCCATATGATAGAATATTACGCAGCACTGGAAAAACAGTATTTACTAAGACATTTTCCACGAATCAAAAAATAAAGTAAAAAAAAAATTACATATGTGGTAGAATCTTTTCCAAGACAATGACACTTAGATGGCAATAGCAGTTCGCCTCAGCGTGGAGGTGTGGGGGACGCCCTGCATCTCTGTAGATAGCCTTTATAATGAGGGGAATATATAGCCTTTATAATGAGGGGAATATATAGCTTTTATAATGAGGGGAATATATAGCTTTTATAATGAGGGGAATATATAACGTTTTTGAAAACTCCTCACCCAAGGATAGGCTTATTGATTTTAGAGAGAAGGGAAGTGGGGAGAGGGGGGAGAGAGAGAGACATTGAACATTGATTGTCTGCCTCCTGTATGTGCCCTGGGCAGGGATCAAACCCATGACCTAGGTATGCGCCCTGACCGGAAATGGAACCCGGAACCTTTTGGTATATGGGATGACACTCCAACTAACTGAGCCACACCAGCTGGGGCTATAACTTTATTGGGGGGGGGGAGTATTTTAAAAATGTCAAGGCAGACACATTTAGGAGAAACTTCATTCTAAGTTTGTAATGGAATGTAACATGAGGTCTGCGTAGCTCTAATAGTTGCTACGGCGGCTCACACGCTTTGAAGTGCAAGCAGTCCGAAGTGGCCATCCCCTGACGAGGGCACGTACAGACGGAAAGGTGGCGGTGGTGGCCCTGGGACCCTCCAGAAATGACACAGGTAATGTGCAGGTCTGGTCAGGGCAAGGTGGGTGGCTGACAACGGGTGAAACGCCAAGCTTTCGTGCCGGTGGAAATCCAGGTGCGCTGGGCAGCCAGCTGGGGTGGCACTCATTTACACTACACAGTAATAAAAACAGAGAATTGTCCCGTCCCTTTTGACAATTTGGGGTCATTCCTCAAGTTCAACACTACACTATTGCTAACAGAAGATGCTAATTATTTTGAAATGCTTGGAGAATGTGATCTAGCACAAGCCGGCACCCTTTTTCTGTAAAGGGCCAGAAAATAAATGTTTAAGCTTTTGTGGGTCACGTGACCTCCATTACACCTACTCAGCTCTGCAAGCAGCCACTGATGACAGCACATAAGCAAATGTGCCTGGCTGAGTTCCAATAAAACTTTACTTACAAAACAGACAGCAGGCCTGAAGTAGCCTGTGGGCCCTAGTTTGCCAGCTCCTGATCTTGGAGATTAGTTATCTCCCCCAAACAGTTGCAAGTCCCATCACTCTCTTTTGAAAAGTTGTTTTATTTGACTGTGTCTGGACTGTACCAAAAGCATTAGAATGTGCTCATGTTAACCACAAGAGTCTTAACATCTATGGAGCATGTCTTGTACAGGTTTCTGACCATGTTGCACTCCCCTCTTGCAGGGAACATTCTGGATATTTTGTTGCCATTTGCAGAGAGATGAGAGGTAGTTGGAGCTACATTGCTCAGGTTCAAATACCAGTCCAACCACTTATTAGCTGTGTGACCGGGGCCAAGTCATTCAGCCTCTCTGTGCCTCAGTTTCCTCAACTACACGTCGGGGATAACATAGTACCATACCTTGTGGGGTTACTTTGAGGATTCAGAGTGACTACTGTAAAGCACTTAGAACAAAACCCTGGGACACAGCAGGTACACAACAAAAATACTGCTGTTATAATGAACTCGTCACCTGCTACCTTTATTCAATGTATAAACTATTAGGAAAGTAAGATTTCTTTTCCCTTAGAAAATGCTCCTCTAGAGCTACTCTTACTGACTATCCAGAACTGTCTCATCCTGGAGTCTCACCACCCCGTGGAAAGGGGGAAGGGCGTGGGGAAGGCGTGGTTAAGGCGCTAGGAGTGGGAGGAGCCGAGAAGGTTCCAGAATGTGGAGCTGTGTTCCAGACCCCGGCTGCCCGAGGCCTTGCTGTAAGGACTGGTCTCCATCAATGCTGTCCCATACGGCAGCCATACCGGGCACTTCAAATGTGACTATGGCCCTGGCTGGTTTGGCTCAGCGGTTAAAGCATCGGCCCTTGGACCAAAGAGTCATGGGTTCAATTCCGGCCAAGGGCACGTACCTCGGTTGCAGTTTGTCCCCGGCCCTGGTTGGGGTCGTGCAGGAGGCAACCAGGCAATGTGTCTCTCTCACATCGATGTTTATTTCTCTTTCTCTCTCCCTCTCACTCTGACTGAAGATAAATAGAAATGTATCGTTAGGTGAGGATTTTTAAAAAATGTGATCACGGTGTGACTAACTAAAGAACGAACACTTATTTAACATTCATTAAAGAGCCGCACACGGCTAGTGGTCAGCTTGTGGAAAGCACAGCCGCAGACTGGGGGAGAGGACTCCTGAGGCCAGGCTCCCTGGGTGCTCGAGCCAAGCCTCCAGGAGTGGAGCCCCAGGGACGCGCCGGAAGGAGCTGAGGGCTGTTAACACGGTTTCAGCACTGAATTAAAGACACCACGTGCGTTCCTCCCTCTTCGCGTTCCAAAGTCCTCTCTCTTGGCGCTGAGACGCCTTGGCAATCAATCGCTCTGCACATTAATTAACCAAGCCGAGAGGGGCCCAGATCGGCTTCTGCTCTGCGGCATCCGTTCTGCATGCTCAGAACCAGCGATCGATCCAGGATGTGGGGAGCCCGGAAAAAGTCCCGTCACAGCAATAAAATCACTTGGAGCCAAATTCAGGAGACGTTCTCCCTGACAGAGTTCAGGGAACATGGGGTTGAAAAGTGAAATAAACTGAGGCGAGGAGAAAGGAGCCAAACGCTTTTACATGTTATTAATGGAAGAGAAACCACGATTGTTTTCAGGGAACATGAAGGAGGGGGAGGAGGCCAGGACTCAGGAGCTGAACCCCTGGGCCCATCTTTCTCCTGTCATCCCACCCAGAGAGGGTCCTAGAGGACCCTGCCGAGACCTTCCTGGGTACGACTGCACATTTCAGAGTTACGGTGGGGGTTGCTGGCCTGAACCGGGGGACCAGTTGCCCCTCTGACTCCCACGGTTCTGGAAGTGACAAGAACAGTGGGTCTGACTGCCCGGGCTCTCGGCTAGCCTGCCCGAACATTCAACATGCTCAGTAATGGCACATGGGGTGGGCACGCGAACAGCGGGCAGGCTCTAGAATTATCTAAAGAATCAGGAAAAGTTGTTTGTCACCGGCACGTGGACAGGTCCCGTGCAGCCTCCTTAAGGAGGTCACCAGGTACTTCTCCCACATTCTCGTTCTGCCCACGAGCATCAAATGAGGAAAAGAAACTGCTCCCTTGCCAATGTCTGCTCTGCGGGCTTCACCCCAGGCGGGGTCTGGGAGGAGGAGAAATTTTAATAGAAATATACGTAATTTCCTGAATAGATTAATAGGTCAGAGGGATGCATCTATTGAATGTCTCATCGAGCCAACTGGCCGGAGGCGGTTTTATTGGCTAGAAAAGAAGAACACCTTCAAAAACACACCGTTGTCCTTTTGCTGCACAGCGAGTGGTTCGCTGTATCACTCACCGCCACGGAAAGCAGGCTTCTGATGGGAACAAGCCACGCGAATGACTAACGGTAGCCTGACATCTCATTCCCTGAATCAAAGAGCCCTTGGCAAAGAACCCAAGCCAAAGCTCCAATTACTAGGGAAATGTTTCAGGAGGCATTAAACCTGAACACCCCAAGTCTGGGGGCCTTAAATCGGAGACTGACAAGCCCAACCAGCACCCTCCCTGTCCCTGAGGGAGATCAGAGAGACAAGCAAACACAGAAACATCACAGGGCAGGCGCTAGGCTCGGAGCGGAAACCTGTGTGAACAACTGGGCAAAGCGGTGAGAACGTTCTCTTGGCTTCCATGGAGTGTGATGCTGGAAAGTGAGCCTTCAGCCAACTCCAAGGGTACCTAAAAGCTTCAGACAGACGGATCACACATCACCTACAGAGACTAAATCACGTCCCTAGTTCATAGCTTTACAATAATACAATCTGTGTTCATGTAAGTCTAGGGGGGCATGGGAAAACAGGCCAGGAGGGGACAAAAGTGGATCTCAGCGTGGTGGCAGCTGCTGGAACAGAGGTGCCCACATTCAGAGATGTGCTGCCTCGATCTGGTTCTGCTAAGAAGAAACCGGTAGCCCTGTTGAAGAATGGGTCTCTTTACAAGACAGGCAGGGTCAGGGACAGGGGCCAAACCGTGAATCATATTTTATAAGTATTAAGAAAATCTCAGCAATACCTGCAAATGAGGAAGTCCAGCTGAGGTCTGAATGACAGACGAGACAATGGGCTGAAACTCACAATGCAGTTTCTGGGAGGGGCTTGGCCGAGATTCTGCGCCGGTGTGGAAAACCACGTCATTTACCCAAGCTGCTCTGGGTGGCTGGGTCCAGCTGAGTCTGCCCTGGGTGCCCAGTGCCCGAGTGAGCTCACAGGCTCCCCATCACGTGTTCACATGTTGAGGTACTGATCCCCTCGCTATGAATTACCTCCTTTAGTCTCCCCTCTATTACATCGGGGCAATTAGAATTGCGTATATAGGTGAGTTACGTTACCTCTGCCTTGCATTTTGGGCATCACAAAGACAATCATCATAAAACACAAAGGTGACTTCCAAGCAACTCAGACCCCTGCACAGACAGTGTCATACTCACCTCCGATGCCCCTCTACCTGCTTGAGCCCACCTCCACTTCAGAACCAGAGGGGCCACTATACACATCGAAGGACCACGTGCTCCCCGCAACACGGGTGTAACAACAAAACTGCTGTCTGTCTTGAAATTTTCGAAAGCGAATCTCATGAGAATGTACAGAGACTATTAGGATTTCCTATGGATTCCCCTGGAATCAACACATACACACACACATACACAAACACGCGTGCGCGTGCACACACATACACATATACTGCACACACACACTCACGAATGTCTACACAGACATACACGTATCTTCCTTAAGATGACACAGAATTTTTGCTGTTTTGTTCCAGGGCACTTTGAATATTGGTGCTGTGCCCCCAAACTTGACCAGGCCCAGCCACAGACCCATCACTCACCTCTTCGTGTCAAAGTACGAGTCTATGTAGGAATGCGGGGCGCCAGCCACGGCGAAGTTGCTGCTTCCGGTGTCAACGAGAATCTGCAGCTTTTATTTTTTAAGGGGAAAAGATAGAAACCATCAGGTTACTTGAAGAAGACCATACTCTTGCATTATCCTTTTGAAAACTAAGTACTAATAATGTGTTACTTGGAAAAACTCCTATCGATTAGAAAATTTTTAAAAAGTTGTTGATATAAAGTTGGCATCTGAACGCAGTCCCGTGAGAAGCTTGCAGCAGGGAGGGGCAGCTGCTGCCCGGTCCCCAGCAAGCCTTACAGAAAACCAGGTCAGTGAAGTTGCTGGGCCCCCTCTTCCAGCCTTTGGTACTAACAAGGCAGAACGCCTCTCGGCCGGGCTGTGGTCCCGGTCTGTCTCCTGGCTGGAATCATCACTCGCTGCCTTTCCAACCTCACTCGGAAACCCTGGCCCCACGGGGCCTCCCTCACGTCCGCTGCTGTGCACCCGGGAACCCCTGTCACAGATGCCACTTTTAGTTTTAATGAGGAAGATTTCACCTGGAATAAAGAGGCACAATCTTAGATTTTCCACTGATGAGTTTAGACACGGTGTCCACCTAAACCAAGATACAGAGATTTCTATTTGTTCCCAAAGGTCCCTTTACGCCCCTTCCCAGCCAATCCCTCCTGTTCTGCATTTCTGATCACTTCCTGGGTCACGTTTTGCTTTCATCCTGTCCTTTAGAATGTTTACGGAGGCCTCAACACCGGGCATGATCGATGAAGTCTTTGGCCACTGGTGACTGAATCCACTTCCAAACCTCTCTTCCAGGGAGGAGAGGCTCCAGGTTCCAACCCGCTAATCCCAGGTAGTGCTCCTTGCTCAGGGGCTTCCCAGCAGCCAGCTCAGCAGGTACCTGGGGCGTGGTCGGACGGGCACGTGAATAACAAAGACACCTTTATCACTCTGATCACATAGGAACTTCCCGGGTTTCAGGATCTCCCCCAGGAACTGGGACAAAGACCGGATATACAGAATATATATTTCTTCTTATACATCCCAATATCACACGCCGGCCTGTGGAAAACAGCCAGTGCCCTGACCTAATTCGTCATCAGAATGAATTTCCAAATGCCCCTTGTCCGGCACTAAGGCCACTGTCCCAACAGCAGACATGGGGTCCAAGCTGACATAAGCTAATATATGCAGCCCACAGGCCCCTCAACACCGTCTCCGGCCCTGGATGTCAGTTTCTGGAGGCAGACGAGCCATTCCAGGCTCGGCGAGAGCAGGAGAGGTGGCGGAGGAAGGAGAGGTGGAGGAGGAAGGAGGATACACACCCGCATTCCTTCACCAGGCAAGTCAGGGAATTTCCAGCCTTAAACAACTGCAGCGAGAATTTCTCTTTCTGTCATTTAAACCACAGACAATAAAATACAGATTCCTGAACCAACACCTCTGCCTTCCAAGCTCACGGTGGGCGAGGACAGCATGCCGTTGCCACACGTGTCTCTGGGGTCTTGCTGGCCACACGCAGCCAACAACCCAGCGGGACGCCCATGGAAAGACCAGGTCTCCTGACAGCCTGGTTTCCCAGGCTGACATTCCACACCCCTGCCCCAAGCTGCTGTGCCACTGGGCGTGGTCAAAGTGGACACAAGACTGTTGTCCTGGGCACAATGGCCCCAGTGACGGGAGGCGGTCTTGGCAGACATTTCACTCCTCTTTCCTGGGTGTGGATTCCATCCACGGCCTCTGCACCATATCAGAACCAAGCCTTTGTACACACCCGTCCCCACAATTCTGCCACGCTGCACACCACACCCACGTCACAGAGGCAGGGGACACAAAAGCAGAAAAAGCGACTCAACCATGGACTGCATTGCCGTACACAGACGGCTTCTAACTGCCCGGCATTCTGTCCAACCCTCCCGGCTAGCTCAGGGGAGGCCAGCCCGCAAGGAAATTCGGTTTGGAATCACGGCTCGGCAAAGCTGGTCACCACCTCAGTGCTCCCAGAGCATGATTTGAGGAGACAAATCACCCCGATAAGTGAGGCAGCCACCACGCCAGGCGAGGGATGGATATCCAGGGAGCAGTAAGTGTTCCACGTGGTGCTTTAAGTAAAGTTTGTGAGCAGCAAACAAGCCAACACCCTGTTCTGCTTGATGACGCTGCAAATGAACATTTCTCAGGTCGATTTCTCCCCAGGGCTGTGACTCCCTTTTTGCAAGTAGTCGCAGCTCAAAAAGGAACAACAACAGCAGCAAGAATAATGCCACTGGCCCTCTAGTTCTCCCCGACCCACTGTAACAGGACTGAAACGCAGAGGCCTGGGGTGCAGGCTTTTCCAGATGCCTCACCCCAGCCCACAGGCCAGCCACGTCGTCTGCTGCTTCCTTTATCCTGGGAATTTCCAAAACCACTTCCTGCCTCCTTGGGTTCCATGCCACACACATGACAATCTCACTCCAGGACACACCATTCAGCCCCACAAGGGACATCGACATCACACACATAGTCTCAGATTCGTGGAACGTGTTGTGCTTTCGAAGCACAAGAAAAAAAGCCTCAGAAAGATATTCCCCACGCCCCGCCGGGAGGCGTGCAGAAGTGCATTGCATTGTTCGAGTGTGCTGAGTGACGGGGAAACAGCTGGGGATAGCACTTTCAAAGGGAGAAGCAGTAGAGGAGAGAACGGTGTGGTCCTGGCCCCCAGAGTTAAGACTCCAGCAGGGAAGAATGAAGTATCCCCGGGCCTAACCCCCAAACCGCCTGGGATCCCAGCGCTAAGACCTAGGAAGGTGCAGAACTAACTGCAGGAGCAGACAGGGCGAATGTTTGCTCTTCTCAAAACACAACAAAACACGCTGTCTCTCGCTCCTGCCTTTCTCCCCTTCCCAGCCGAGCATCAGCGGGGTCTCTCCTATCTGTTCTCTTTCTCTCCACAACCTGCTGAGACGAGGCTTCTGCCTTGCTGTCCAGTGCCAGCCAAGGTCACCAATGACCTGTGCACACTAACCGATCATCACCTCCTCCAGCCTCAAGCACCACTGACCAGTCCCTCCTCGAAGCTTCGGAAACACCTTCCTGGTTGTCCCCCACAGCCCTCCCTCGTCAGTCCCCATGGCAGATGTCTCCCTCCTTCAACTGTGCTCTTGGAAACACTCTGTACGTCATTCCGGAGAATTCTTTGTCCCCAGACCCCGCTGCATCATTTTCACACTACAGTCCCGTTGTCCTCTCCGGACTCCGTCCTGGCACGGGGCACCGGGGCACCCTCCGTGAGAGTGTGGCCCGAGCACGGTTCAGCCTTTCCTTTCCAGCACCCTGGACAGTGCCCAGGGCTTAGTGGGTGCTCAATAAACAGCTGCTGAATACATGAAGGAGAGTCGGAGGTAGATTTTCCCCGAGTGGAGACTAAGTACCGGAAATGCATGTTCTGGGGAAAAGGAACATGTGTGTACATTGATAGAACACGTCTGTATTGTGCACCTGCCAATTATACACAAAACAGAGGGGGCAAAAGATCTTAAACTGTCTGTTCCAGGAGACAAGAGAGAAAATGTGTGAACATTCTATTACCCCAAACAAAAGCCTGCACTTCTTTCCCAGCCCCGTGGGACTACCCACACTTGCATAATGAGATTTTACAAAACAATCACGCAATGAGAATGACCATGACGCTCACGTGACAGGTGGGGGTGGAACACACTTCGAACGGGATCGTTTTTCTCAGCGGAGCAGTGACGGGCACCCAGGGCGGGGCCAAGGGCCGCTCCGCCGCTCAGACCATGTGTCTGGGCAGGGCCTTCCTGCCTGTGTCTGCTCCCTCACGTAGGAAGGGGGTGATTGACCACTCTCAGGGGGCTTGTGAGGGGTACACGCAGTCACGTGTGTTAACTTCGGGCTCTCAGCCAGTGGGCGATAAGTACCAGTGTTGATTTCAAGTCCAATGTTGAGCAGGAGGTGGGAGACCAGGGCCATCACTGGTGGCCATGACATCCCAAGGAATCTCTGGCCAAGGGCTGGTTCCAGAGTGATTTGAATCCAATGGATTCTTCAGGAAGATTTCTTCTGGGACATTCTCGGGGACAGTCAGGACTTCATTGCCATGCCTTGCTGTGCCCACATAGAGCTCATGCATTTTTTTAAATTATTATTTTTTTTACAGTTGTCCCTCCTTTTTCTCCCACTGACACCCTCCTCACCTCTCCCCCCACCACCTCACTAGTGTCCGTGTTGATTGGTTGTGCATATATGCACATAAATTCTTTGGTTTCTCTCTCCCCTCCCCCTTTCCCTCTGAGGTTTGTCAGTCTGAACCCTACTTCCATGTCTCTGGATCTATTTTGTTCATCAGCTTATTTTGTTCATTACATTCCACAAATAAGTGAGATCATGTGATATTTGTCTTCCTCTGACTGGCATATTTCTCTTAGGATAATACTCTCCAGGTCCCTCCAGGTCACCTCAAAGGGTAAGAGATCTTTCTTCTTTACAGCTGCATAGTATTCCATTGTGTCTATATACCACAGCTTTTTTATCCACTCATCTACTGATGGGCACTTGGGCTATTTCCAGATCTTAGCTACCATAAATAGTGCTGCTATGAACGTAGGGGTGCACATTTTTAAAATGAAGCATTTTGTAGGGTTTTCTTTCCCTCATTTTGTTTTAATGCATTTTGACACCTTTGGTGACATCTTTTGTTGCCCTGAATCTTTCTAACTTGCCTATCTTTCCTCTTGTGGAGCTCCTATGTTGCTTGAGGACAAAGTCCTTTTCTTTGTCTCTCAGATGGTCCTCAGAGCGAAGACAATAGGACCCCCTGGTCCCTGTCCCCAAGATGGGCAGGAGACTGTGTGAGCCCCCAGTGGGAGTGGAAGGGACGCAGACGAAAAGGCCAAACCTGCAAAAGAGCTGGAGGAAGCTGGAGAGAATTCACCAGGCCAATTTCCCAACACACTGTGCAAACGTCTACTTAGTTTCTCTAGAACTGGCTACAATGGATGCCCCACTGCTCTTAAGTATCAAAGGACAACCACAGTTAGAAGCAAGGGGACAGCGGAGGTCGAAGGTGCCCA